ACCTGTGTTTTTTGATTATAAGCCTAGTCCTGCTGATGCAGGAGATGTTATTCCAGCTACTATGTCTTTCTGCAGAGTTACAACCAACTTGCAGTGTGGCTTTGCCTTTTGTCTTCTAGGATACCTGTATCTCACTGAAATATTCAGAATGTCAAGGTTTTATTTATTTCATGTTTACCTCTCTGTTTTGAGAGGCTTATTTCCTAGAAAAGTTTCCAGTTTTCCCTAACTTCATTTGTAGGAGATGCTCAGGATCTTGCAGGATCAGACAGAGGAAAAACTAAAGTTTTAACATCTTCTGGTATTTGCTGTTCCTCTCAGTTGTAAAGCTAGGAGTTAACTTTCTATCATAGTGTTCCTAACACTGTATGTCCCTTACTCATCGGGATGGTGATTGACACGTTCTTAGAATCACCAGCAAATGTAATGTTCCCCTCACCACCTTTTTCCTACTTCTATAAACTTTGTGAAACATAGTACACGCTCTGTCTTGTAGTCCTGTGCAGCTCTTGTAAGTATACCCTTCCCAGGATATGTCATCTGTTTCCATCTAAATCGGCAGTGAGTCCTGTGAAGTGAATTGCAAGATTTCAGGATCTGTTTCTTCTTTAGTATGGCCAGTTTAATATGACATCCTCCAGGTACCCTCTTTAGAGGCAGACTTGACCAACCTTGACTGACCAAATAAGTTTGCATTTTCTGGTAACCTCCTCTGAGCTCCTGATACGATCTTTGTGCTACTCGGGCCCTCCTTGCTCTGTGCTACTCCTGCCCTCTGTGCTATCTCCTCTGAATTAACCTCCTGTAGTCTTAAAAAATTGATAGCAAGTAAGTGGAGATACTTAATGTTTGAAGTACAGAGAAGATGTTATTGTTTTTTTGTTACACAAGATGGTGCAACTGAATCCAGTGCCAACCCTTACGGATATTAGTAGCTGCCACTTAACCAATTATTTAGCATTTCTGTTGTATGTAAGTGTCTAACCTCTGCAACAGAAATTGATTTAGCATTTTAAATTGGATCTCATGAAACATGATAAAATGCTGAAAATATGGAACAATTGGCTTGGTCAGGTATATTTTGATTCTTATGAACTTGCATGGCTTACTGGTGCTGGCTCTGATAATTAAATGGCTTTTCAAAATGGTCATTGTTGACTTAAATCTATTGGCAGTGTAGTCAGTGGGAGTTTTAATATTGACTACAATGGCAACAGTTAGACGAACAGATTGCATTAGAAATCCCATGCTGTGTGTTTAATTTCACTTCCTGATACAACAATCTCTAAATATTAAAGAGAATTCTTGCCAAGATAGAAAAGCAGAACACAGCTTTTTTCCTTTCTGACAGTCTTGACTATATTCTATATCCACTCAGTTATTAATGCCGTAGCCAAGTTACCAGATGAGAAAGAATGCCTTTTTCTCCAAACTTTAGGATGCAAAGTTTTGCATCTCCATCTCTGTTTTCAGAGCCGGCGTTGCTGCTCCATTATATTTACATTGGTCAACTTTTCTCTCAACAAGCAAACAAAACAATAGCAGAAAAATCCAAGGAGATTTGACTGTCTTATCCAGTTTAGGATGAACTTTCATCCTTCTTATGCCCTATTAAAGGTCCATAAATCTCCTGAATGTTTGGGAATTGCTTTGTTTTCCTGCTCCATTCTGTTTAGTATTAATACTGTTTTTCCCCTACCAACTCTTGTTCTCCGCATCGCTGTTTTGATTTGTCCCACACTGGTATCTGAACAAATTATGAATAACCTGAATTTTGAGCCAGACCCATAAAGTTGCTTTGACCATTTGTTGGTTCTTGCAGTTTTCCTCCTGAGACTAATTTGTCTGTTAATAATTATAGTATTAAGTCTCCCTTGTCACCTTACATGCTGATTACTTCTGATTCTTTCCCTGCATCTTGCTCAATGGATTGCTTAGTTCCTTCATTATTATTTTTTCACTGCAGAAGTTCCCCTGTGCTGTTCATATTTGCTGGTGCACTTAAAACAAAGGGCATTGCAGGACACCTTTTTAGCCCTGTTAGAGAGCACTTGCTGTGGCGTATTTTTGTTTCATTTACTTTTGCAAGGTTGCTGAGTTGCTTTACAGAAGAGGCTTTTTTTATGTAGACATACACACTCTGAGGGATCCACTTTTGCAGGTTATGTTAATTAAACTATCCACTGCAAATCATTAGCTAATGGGTGTAGGTGGTTGACACTAAATAGAAAGTAGAGCATTAGATCTTCACCAGTACTTTAGAGAACTTTGGAAACTTTTCATTTCTTGCCAGAGTGCTTCACACTGGCACTGCAGTCATGCTAACATCTGCTCTCCTCCCTCTGTCAGCAGGCTGTATGTGGTACAGAAATAACACCAAGTGCCACCCATCTTCACTGATCTGTAGGGGTTTTTTTAATTTTCCTTTTTAGAAGGTGCAGAAATAATCTTCAGCTGGCACCAGGGTAATATCAGCTGTTCTAGCTTTTCAGCACTAGATGCTTAAAAACACTCTTGCATGGAGTTGAACATGGGAGTTTAGATATAAATGACTCTGTAGATTAGTGATTCAGAGTAATGTTTAGTAATATTCCTCTTTAGCACAGGGGAGTGTATCTTACACTTCCATTACAGTAAATAGGAATTCTAGCATTCTCAAAGGATAGTCACTGTTTCTCATTCCTAATTCTGCTGTTTGAGTTATAGGGGAGTGGCAGTTGGGGTGTGGTGGTTTTTAAAATTATTATTTTTTTAAGGGGATGTTAAAAATAGATTGCTGTCTCTTGAATTGGTAGAGGCTGTGTCTGTCATGGTGAAAACTGAAGAAAAGTCTAGCCTATATTTTTTCCCTTTTAGGCTTTTTGTATTGGGGGAGGGTTATATGCACAGTGAATGGGACTGTACAAGATGGAGTTCTTGCATCAGAAAGTCTCATTGATGAGAAAATTTGTGTCCTAAAATGTTTTTGTGGATGCTAAGAGCATTGGCTAGTGGCATTTTAAAAAACTTGAACAATTAGTTGATTTAGGTCTCTTGATTTGGACTGTAGGAGACTTTGCATCTTTATTTTCTTTTGTTTGCTGGAGCTAATTCCTCATTCCTTTTGAAACGATTCTCTTCAACTGGAGAGTTCTGCAGGGTGTAGTCCTGCTGTTCCTCTAGCTGATATTTGTCCCTTTCAAAAGCATCTTCTAATTCTAGTAAATGTCCAGAGCAAGTGCAAACCCTGAAAACCGTTTTGCTGCTTTTCTCCCAGGGCTGCATTTCAGCGATGTTTCAAAAACTGCTGTATGGACTTTTAAAAAGTATATTTCTTGTCTGACTTTCACTAGCTCTTACTGTGTGTGGCAAGATCTGGAACATGACACTTCTTTTTCCCTTTGGCCTTTTCTCTTTAGCAGGAAAAGTTGATATGTCAGCACTTGAGTTCCCAGGATTCCTTCTGTTATTGATCCACATCTTAATAGGCTGGAGGCCTCTGATAAAAGAACAGCAGCAGCTTTTACATTGCCGATTTCAGGAACCCTGCTGGTTACGCAGAAACCTCAGGGCGAGGTGCGGCTTTGGCTGTGAACTGCAAATCCTGTGCCTGCAGTGGGAGGAGAAATGGAAGCTTTGAGCTTGGATTTAGATCTGGGTTTGGTGAAATAGCTTGAAATGCTAACGAGCTTTGCAGAACAACCTCTGCTCTTGTGTTCCTGGTTCCTCAAGTGTGTGGGAAACAGCCACGTAATGGACTTTTCTTCTCAGCCCACGTTTCTTGCTCACTGACTTTAAAAAAGCAAAACAAAAAAAAATTATAAAATGCACAGCTTGCTGGAGTGGGTTAGGAATGTGCTGCTAGTGTGTTGCATAAGGAATATTTAGTTTCCTAGTGATTCCAAGGCTCTGCAAGTAATATTCTCCCCACAACTGCCTGGGAAGGAGACAAATAGGGCTGCAATTACAGATGGGGATCTGGAATCCAGGGAGAACAGACTTGCTACTTGTGCAAGGTCATGCAGAGAGTAAATTTCTGAACGGAGAATAAAGCACTGCGGAGGTCTGTTTCAAAACCCCAGAGTCACTGATGGAGTCTCATTATTTTCCTTACAGTTTTAGTGCTATATAATTACAGGTCCTCTTGTGACCTATGAATGCAGTATCAGGACTTTTGTTTGCTGGGGACTCTGGAGGTCCTCCAGTTTGGCCTCCTGCTTGTTGTAGGGTTGTTATTCCAAAATCAGACTGTGTCAGCCATGGCTTTGTCTAACTCCTGTCTTGAGACTTCCAAGGATGACAGCTCCGCTGCCTCTCTGGCTAATGTGTTCAGTGTTGCACTGCCCTCCTGGGGAGAAGACTTCTCCGTGTCTGCTGTAGGACAATAGATGCTAGACCTTTTCCCCTCATTCCCCAAGGCCCAGACATTTATTGTGAAACAGAATGAGAGGTTTTTGAGGAGGTACGATTTTGTCTGATACCACCTAACATTTCTGACTTCGCTGGAAAAGCTTGTGAAAGGTGAGATTATCTTAAGCTGTGATGGCACTTAAACTGGACCTTGAGGGAAGGAGCGCAAAAGAATAGTCTGCAGGTTATGCCTTTTTGCCTGCACTTCTGGGAATGAAAAAGTGAAATTTTACAGATCTCTCTGACTAACAGAAAGTTCTCATCAGGACTGTGGTGTGCTTGCTTTTGCTCTCCCAGTCCAAATTCTAAAGTTTCTTGTTCATTTGCTCAGGTGCTGACATTGATTCATTGACTCTCTGTGCTTTTGTTGATACTTTTGAGACGTTGTCAAACAATTAAGAAAGTGGACATTAGGTGATCCGTATGTAAAACTGTCAGGAGTCTTTGGTACAGTAAGTTGTATGAATTTGGAACATTGACTTATGCAAGAGAACCCTTAAATCTCAGTGGCATACTCAGGATGACTAGGTGATGTTGTTGGGTTTTTCTTTTCTTGGAGAACACTTTATTACATAGTATTTTTAATGTACTTTTTTTTTCTTTTGCTGAAGGGACAATGGAGACCGATCCAGGCACCGAGCTCCCCGGAATGCCCGCATGTCTGCGCCATCGCTGGGGCGCTTTGTCCCGAGGTAAGGCTTGTACATGTAAGAGTAAAAGGGTGTGGAAATCCTGGAGGTACCAGTTGCAGTACAGCTCTCTGGTGCTTTCAGATGGATTCTAATTTCTGGGACCCCTGAGATGGCATGTTAGTATGATCAGCTGCTCCTGTGACATCTGAAGGACAGCATGGTCTTAGTGCTTCTTACCTGCAGGTTACGGGCTACAGTGTGAACACAGAATAGGAGGAGAAAAGAATCTGATCAGAGATTCTCAGCACAACATGCTGGTTTGAGATTAGGAAGCTATTGTGGGAGGTAAAGGATTTACTTAATGCTGATCTTCACAGCCACATTGATCAGAGGAGTATCTAATCTGTAACTTGCCTTTGGTTTGAAGCAGTGAAGTGGTTGGCTAAGCGGAGGAGTCCAGCCTTCCTTCTACTATAGTCTGCTGGAATACAGTCATGTTTCCTCAAAGTAATTGCAGTTGCTGTCCAGGGCTGTAATATACTGGGATGTCTTTCTCTATGTAAGCTTACTCTCTTTGTTTTGCAGACGCTTCTTGCTGCCAGAGTACTTGCCTTATGCCGGGATTTTCCATGAACGGGGACAGCCTGGCTTGGCCACCCATTCCTCTGTCAACAGGGTTTTGGCAGGTAATGAGGTTTCCTTGTTTACAGTAGTCATGTATATTAGTGGTATTTTTCTCGTGAATGTGAGCAGAGGAGGACTGATGAGGAAAAGTCTAATTCCAGCTTTTGAGGTTCTGTTTAAGTTGCCTGAAACAGGAGAAAGGACTGTTGGAGTGATGTGGTGAGCTGTCATTCAAGTGCTTGGGCATTGCAGATTCCATGCTTCAAGTATGTGTATGGGAGTCTCTGCATGAATTGGGGAGGGGTGCTGTTAACAGTTCTCCCTTTGTTTAACTTCCTCCCCTATTCCTAGATATCTTTTTCTTAACAACCTGACAGACTAATGATTAGCTTGCTGCAGGTCCTTCTAATTGAATTATAGGGTGCCTTGTTCATGTTCCGGCTGGCAAGATGCACACAAGGCAATGCGGGATTCAATTAGGATCTTAATAAGTGCATATTAAAAAACTCAGCTGCCACCACATACGGCACACAGGCATTTGGGAGCCTTAAAGGGCAGGCGGAGGTGGGAAGGGAGGTGGGGGGAAGAGGAGGAGTATGGCACTCTGGCAGTTCATGAAATAGATGGTTATAGATGACACTTCTTGAGGGTGGGTCTTTTTTGGCTGGGTCTGAGTTGCTCTGTAATTAACCCCAGTGCAGGGGAGCCGCCTTTGAGCTTGGGGGAGAATGAGGGATGATGTATGGACAGGTAGGTTGGGATGTGTTTCTCTTCCTTCCTGTAGGTAATCACAGGACCACCACCGAAACGAGTGCTGAAAGGTTTCTCAAACAGCTGCATGACTCTTTTCCTTATCCTAAGGCACGACCAACTATGCCTAAACCATTTTGGACAGGATTTGTCTAACCTGTTCTTAAGAGTCTTCACTGGAGTTTTGCCATCCATTTGGGGGTGGAACTGTTGTTGGTTTTGCATGGCTGATTTAGTATGGCAGTGGTCTTGTCTTTGATAACAGATTTCTGGCATCTCCCGGACTTTTGTCTCCCTGGATATTTTGGTTTGAGTACATGGTTCATAGACCTTGCTGTTGCAGTAATAGTAAGAGCTCAGCCAAAGGCTAGCCTACAAAGCACCTCT